AAAAAAAAAAAAAGAATGGTCACTACGAGGGTTGAACTCGCGACCTTGGCGTATCACGGGATATCAAAGGATCCTATTAGCACCACGCTCTAACCAACTGAGCTAAGCGACCTTGGCATCTTCTCGGAGAAGAAGGAGCAGGATCTTGCCGCACCTTGCCCCCATCTGAACTCAGATGAGATGATGGATGTGAAATCTCGCTGCTGGAACAAAGAAGAACTTTGTTGATTTGATGGGAGTGAGCGAAAATTAAAACCAATATATCTAAAAGAAAAATATCATTTGAGAAGTGGAGTTGAAAATTGTGTTCTTCGGTGGAAATCAGTGGAGCTAGCTGGGATTTCTTTAGGTTTTTGGCTAGCGAAGGATGGGTGGAGGTGGGGGTGGGGAGGGGAATTTCGGGTGAGATTTGTGCGGCAATTGCGTGGGAACTGGGGGAAGAGCTGTGGAATAGGGTTTTGCAACGTTAAAATCTCATTGCACAGGTTTATCTTAATTTTTTTTTTCCTTCGATTTATCAGAGGGTTTGTTACTACACATATGTCTTGGATAGTGGTCTTGTTTCCGTGCATAAATGTCAAGAATTGAGAGTTTTGTAAATCTAGTTTTTGTAGTTGCAAAGAAAACCGAGGGAAATCCTTTGACTTGAAAGTTGGAAAATCACACATAGCAACTTAGTCGATGGAAGTGCTTTCTTTGTGCAGTTTTCGTGGTCATATTATAGTACGAATCAATTGCTTTGTTTGTATGGTTCTGTTTTGTGTGGGTACGTAGTCAGACATTTATTGTTTCCTTCGTTGCGGCTTGAAAGCTATCAGGCATCGTAACAACCAGAGATACTGCCACATGAAATCTTCATCTGCTTTGAGTGAGGAAAATTTCGACCTAAAATTTGATGGCCGAAAGACCTACATTTCTTGTAGGGTGGAGTGGGCGAAGACTAGTGTTAAGGTCTCAAGGCCAGGATCAGGGCTCTCATACACCCGGTAAAACCGGAAAATCGGAAAATGGCGGCCCTATCAGCCGCGATGCAATACCACGCCAAAACACCGCATTGTCACGATCAGCCTTAGAATGTGAAAGCTATTTCACCTATCAATCGCGCGTATTTTCTATATAAAATAAGCACGTTATAACAGAGATATTTCGTGGTGTTGATGATGAGTTTTGGTGAGCAATGCCCGGTTGTA